TCACATGAATTGTAATTGACACGGATTTAGTAGACAACACTAAAGGAAAATAACTGTATTCACCATGACTAAAAACTCCAAATATCGGTTTGTTTAAATACTCTAAATTAAATTCAAATCACTTGTAAACTGCCCAACTTGTTTTCCAGAATAGTTGAATTACCAAACCATTATTTACACAAATCTGTTATTACTATTATCTGCATTTTCTATTTTTGTAAAAGAAATAAACAAAGAGAGATGCTTACGTAATTTAGAACTTCTGTGAAGAACTGACATTGGTTCAGACTATTTCGTGCCGAATTTTTAGGTCAAATTCGAGTATGATTGAGGTGTGCGTCATTTGAACGTAGTGTTCGTAGGCCCTCATCTTCACAAACCTTTCTTCCAGATAATTCGAATTAGTTACAAAGGCAAACACGGAATATTCCTAAATGTTTAAAACATCTGAAACTGGTTTATAAGTACTATCTCTTAATTAGATATTAGTAAAACCTGCCTCTAAGATTGAAGAACAATTGTTCCATATTTGAAAAATGTGTAATGAGTGTAAACGATGACATTATATTTTATGGATAATGTTATATCTAATTACTGTCTTTCATAAACACGTTCGCCACTGCATGAATAATTTAACCATATCCTTTCATTTCCTAATCTTTATTGGATTAATAGAACAGAGTGAGTAAAATTACTGAGTCGACTGGATGGTAGTTCCATAGATCTATGTAGAATCCTAGAAAAAGTGAACGAATTCTGCCATTCCATTAAAGTCAAAATATTGCTAACTATTAGAAACTTTCACTTAGCAGAGCTTAAAACGATTGTTAAGCATCGTTGTAAGCAATGGAGGAAATCGGATAATGAAGCCTTGGAGATAGCGTCTATAATGCACCCTGGGCAACGTATACTCATGCGGCAAAAAGTCTATTAACCGGCAGTTGACTTCTCACTTCAAACTACCATCACCTCACTCTATGCTATATTCGACTATTTTCACAGTACTCACCTCACCTTTGTTCTACCTTCGCCTTTGAAACACTCTTCTCTTCCCTCCCTCCCATCTCAAATTTTTTCACTTTGATATTCCTCCTCCTCTCTGTGAATCTCGAGGTCACCTAAAGGGCTAATGATAAATATCATAAAGCCTGCCATTTGAAATAAATAAATGGTATAAATAAACAACCCTTAGCATCGATAGATCACTGGATTCCTTTTAGCGACCTCTTTCACCTTCAGGATTTTTGTCAATAAATCTATACACAATCGTCTTCACCCTAACCTGTTGTTGTAGTTAAAATAGGTAGAAATTGGAGAAACGTGGGACACAGAATAGCCGGAGGCCAAAATGACAAGTGAATTTTCATAGTAGTCAGGCAAGCTATGCACTTTAAGAAGGAAATTCAGTTTAACAGTACTCCCACTGTAGTATATACCTAATCTTCGAAAATCACTACCTTTATCATCCGAATATTTGCATATGCTTATAACTCGCAAACAAGATTTTTCTGAACAGTAGCTAAAAAAGAAACACAAGGCGTACACCGAACTAATTCGCATATAAAGGACAAGTGAAAAAGTAAATCGCGGAAACAATGAATCCTATCTCTCATTATGCCAAATGGCACTCCTTTGCAAACTCGAAAAGAATTGTTAGGTATCTACTTTGGTGTGCACTGACAGTCCATGCATTTCGGCAACCAACGAATGGTATCGCTTAATGAAATTTTCTCTTAAACCTAACTTCACATGTATACCCTTCAAAAATCACTGTGTCTTGAAACGCAATGAAGTCTTTTTCCTAAAGCATAGTTCAATATGTGTAAACGATATCCCCCCCCCCCTGAATTCGATGCCGAACATCATGAAAGTAAGAATATTAAAAGGGCAAACAATACCTGATAGCATCTCTCCGCTTCCACAATCACCGGCTTCATTTTATCCAACTCTTCTTCCATCTTCTTATAACCAGCCATCTGTTGCTCCAATTGCAGGTTATTTGGTGTATTCTGAGCTGCGAATAGAGCGTCCAAAGCACGCTCCAGTCCAAGACCAAGACGATTGGCATGCATAGCGAATTGCGTGCGTAGTTGTTCATTGCGCTGTTGCTTGGCCATTTCGGTCTCAAGAGCTACATCACGTTCCGGCACAAGGCTTTGAACATTTCCCCACCGATCGTGAAGAGTCTAAGTGGAATGATAAAGACTTTAATGTGTGCGGGCTGTTATGCTGTGCTTAAACTGACTTCATGCGCTTCCGTTGCCAAAAAAGTCATTTGAAGCAATATGACGACCATCATAAATAATCAACTAATAAAAAAAGCGCTGGACAAGAAATCGTACGGCCTATCGAGAGACAAATTCTGACATTTAAAGTTGGGAACCTGAAGCATTGAAATAGCACATACTGTACAACTTGAATCTGAAAGCCAAATGAAGTACAGCCCTCTGGATGCTATGACCTTCTAAGCAGTAAATGTCCCAACCCATTTCCAATGACAACCTAGCCTGACTATTACCGATTCCAGCTGCTTTTCCGAGTTAAAAATCATAAAATTGTTGACTCGATGTAGGTAGCAATTGATTGGTGAATAAGCAAAAATTTAATTACACAGAAGTCGAAGTAAAATGTAAGAAATTAAATTAAAATCTCCTAGATACCTGATGAACATGGAATGATAGTGGCGAAGATAGTTATAGCACTTAAATTAACGCTAATTCCAGACTATAATGCTTTTAGGTGAATTCTGAGGTTTCGTAAGATCTGTATTCACAAAAAAACATATTCTGGCAATAAGACTGATTGAAATTTAACCCTAACCGTGACAAATGAGTAAACTAAATGAACAGCCAATCTCGGAGAGACAAAGCGATGACAACGCCTTTAAATATATCCTATTTTTCTTAGGCATCTATAGTGCGGATCAATTTTGAAATTTACTGACAAATGTAGTTAGAAAAGATTAATGCTGATTTGCCGGCTAGATTGGACGTAATTTCGACCACTGGATGTTTTTCGCCTGTTTCCTATGTTTTACCTCATACATGCCAATAGAGGTGTTGGTAAATAACTTTAAGAACTCCTAATTTAAAGACCGAGGTTATTACTAAGTACACTTAGGAAATCATTTTTGTACTTATAGTGGGTATAGGTATAGCGCCATAGAGACCCCTTTGTGAGAAACTGTAATTCTGCCGTTACCAGAGTTGGCCAGGCTTACTGTTGCGATTAGCCTGAACGTTCACTGCATTTTTTCCTGGATTATTACTGAACTTCTGACCCCCGACTTGGCAGCCGAGCACAAATAACCGCGCGACACATTTCGTGCACTTATTCGGATATTCGGGGAAAGCGCACACGAAAATAGGGGCTAATGCAAATTTGGGGTGAAATATTTATTTACAACCAATGCGAGAAAGCTGATCTTTTTTAATCCTGGGGCACAGTCACCTACCTTATTTGGATTATATATTTTTTCAAATGAAATTGCAGGAATTTCATTAAATAAAGCGAAAAAGCATTAAAATTTTCTCTAGCTAAAGAATTTTCCTAAACTCCCATTTTAAAAATGTTATATTTCAATACATACCCATTTATAGCTTGAAGTAGGCATTTGTTTAAATAAATTAGTAATGCGTTTTCAGATATTCAAAATATAGATTCGATGGGCCATTGATCTCCCCTAACAGAAAATGCAGAAGTAAGCATGTTGCATTAATTAACTCTTAACTTATTCTTGATTCTTCTATACAAAGAAGGGAATTACATATATTGGAGCTGGTTTATTCAAAAATGGATAAGAGGTAGCACCATAGCATAATCAGCATAAACTGCGATTCACTCTGAAGATAGCCAATCATTCCTGCTGATTAGTGGGTGAATATTGTTTCCAGTCTGGAAGTAGGCAACTCTATTGCCAATACGTTGCGAATTTTCAACTGTTCTTAGATATTTATACCTTTTCCAGAACGTATATCTCGGTTACCAAGGGCTAATGATAAATATCATAAAGCCTGCCATTTGAAATAAATAAATATCTCGGTTACCCCCGAATCCAACAAGCAATCTTTCTTTCTGTTGGACCAGTGGCTTTAGGACATAGTTGATGTAATGACCATTTGGAAATATCCCAGATGGAACACTATTATTGATCATTGTGAAACTTGAGAAATGATGTCTTCTCAAGTACAGATGTCTTAGAATTAGCTTCAGCAAATGCTTTCTATGAAATGTGATAGTCGTTTGATTTTTCAGCATAAAGAGCCTCGCTCTAGCGCCTAGAGTTACATTTATACAGAGGAGTGAAAGAGCAAAGAAGTGAGCTTGGACAAGTTATTTTACCTATCATATACACTTACTATTCACTAATCCCCATTTTAAATAACGCGAAAGTAACCCTTTAAAAAACAAAACCAGCAAATCTGAAAGTTCTTACCTCATGAGTAATCATAGTGTAGGGGTTGACAGCAACCTCACGAGGTAGATCATGTTGTTCCACAAGTCGACTGATTTCGCCAGCTTCTTGAAGCATCGAATTTAGCTCCTGCTGAGCTGCCGGTAGAGTTCTCTTGAATGCTTCATGACCATTGATTAGTTGCTAAAGAGAGGGGAAAAGAGATACCTATAAGGAAGCACGAAACCAAAATCACATAATTGTCCACCCCCCTCTCCCCCCCCCTCATCCTCTCAGCTGCGTAAGTCATGGATTAGCTAAATTATTGTTGCTCTACTACGGTTCTCTTAATACTTTTCTGCAAAAAACTTAAACACAGTCGGTTAAGCTCCCTTCAATGATCAATGGGAGAACAGACAAATGAGACGTTTACTTCTACGGAGCTTATATGCTTCTGAGCGCGTTTCGCTTAGCTAAAAATGATTATTTTATACTTTCTTAAGGAGCGTCAATCTATGAAAATTTGTAATTATTTAAATAAATATTGCACAAAATATTCGACAAACTTACAGATACTTCCTCCACCCTGTCGGCAATGAAAAGATCCTGCAAATCCTCTTCAGCTTGTTCCAGCCAATTTGAGAAGGGCTAAATAGGTAAAATTTGTTAAAAATCATGGCTTGCACAACTTACTCCAACTCGTTTCGCGAATGACTGTTGAAGATTGTCGATTTTCTTCAGCACTTCCAGACGTTTCTATAAAGCGCGTTATTAGAGTCTATAATCCCTTTTCAATTTGAAACCTACGTCAATTTCTTCCCTTCGTTTCGCCGACAGTTCGCCGAGTCTATCCCATTCGGTGACGATATTATGCGTTTTGTTATTGATCGTGTCCACATCATCATATTTAAGAGCACTGAATAAACAAAAACAATACAAAATTTTAAATGAAAGAGCAAATATTTTAAATCATTACCTTTATTATAAAAATAGTAGCTTAAATTTCCTCATCAGTTATAGTATGAGCATTTACAAAATAACCTTCGATTTATTTATTCGATGGCGATGAAGTTCGCCAACACATTGCCGAGCTAAAGTTTTATAAGATTTCTCCAACTCCGTTTATGAATCTTGAGTTATAACCTCGCAAAAAACGCCAAACAACTGAAGTAAGTCCTTTCATCATCAAAGCAATCATTCTCACATGTGAATAATGATTAGAAAGAGTTCCTCTAAATACGAGATGGAAAATAAATCCCGAACTGGGGTCAAGTCGGGGTGGTATTAATAGTGGTGAACACAGTGGATCAATTAGTTGTCAACGACATAATAAGTATAGATAATTTAGAACCATATAAGGAATCACCCCTTCTCCAATCAGCATACAGAGATCCACAATAAGAATGTAATCGACAAGACAGCTAAAATTAGTATGTTTTAAGAGTGTATAATAAGTTGTAAACACGTAAATAATTATTTTAAGAAAATCTCAGTCCGTTGGGGCGATTTTGATTGCCATTACGAAACTCAAAAGAGTCAAAGAAATCACACTCATTTTTATTCCACTTCCCTGAGGATTTTAAGAACACCTCACATCATTTATCCCCTAGTTTTCTCTTTTCAAACACTTAATTTATTGCCATCTTTATTCCAGCTGTTAGTCATGGGTAAGGTATAACGCAACTCCACCCTAATATCAGCTTAATAATATATCGGAGCTAATCAAGAAGTTTTGTGCATAAAGCTGCTGTAAATTCCTTCATATGACATTTGTTTTACTAGGTCGAAGGTGGGGATTGAAATAGTGCATGAATATACCCGGTTAACGAGTGAAATACTTACGCTGTGCTCTATGAGAATTCAAAGGCAGAAGGGAGACTTAGTCAATGATTACTTAAAGTGACACATTTAAGACGGCATACAAAAGGCCAGCAGACTGAAAGTTTACTAAGAATCAATGCCTAGCATTCTATTTCGATAGCTTCATTGGATCGTTGCTTTCTAGACAGTTTATGGGAAAAATCTCTAAATAACTGCCATGTAGAGCGAATTTGAATGAAACACAGAATTTGCTCTTCACTCCGAGTTCAAAAAAGTGAATTTAAGTCGGGACAGTTACTTACTTTAATTCTTCAGCAATAGCGACAATCCTCTCGACTCGGCTCTGGTGAGCTCCCAAGTCCGCTTCAAAGGCGCTCTGTTTTTGAGCAAGAGCTGCTAATTCCGCACAGGAGGTGACCTCATAGTCATTTTTACTCAATGCCTCAACTTTATCCTTTGACCACGCCTCGTGTGTGGCGCATTTGAGCCTGAATTTCTTCAGGAGGTAGTCAAGTTGCTCCAAGCGACGAATTTCTTGAAGAAGCCAGTCCTAGAATTGAAAAAAAATTAGTTAGTAGGTCTTAGCCAACAGAAACCAGATATTGTTCAGATATCCTAAGAAAAAACAATACATTGTGACAAAACATCATAAGTCAATTCGCTCTTTGCACTCTCAACATGGTTTCTAAATCAGGAAACTGGAGGAAAGATCCAGAAATTAGGACTTCACAGTGTAACGAATTTTATCTATTCAGTAAAATATGGAAGTCCAGATGAATCCAAAGCAACGCTTTTTAGGGGCTATGATTTATTCAACACTTGTGACACCCATTTGTTGCTGTGAGATATAGGGTTTATTACGAGCATTCCCTATTCAAGACAGATCTGCTAATAAAATAGATGATATGCATGATTGAGACATTTTTCACGCATGTCCTTTGAAATTAAAAGCAACAGATAGAAGTTGTAGCAGAAGGATGGAGACAATAACAGACTAGGTGGGAAATTATAATATCCAAGAAAACTTTAAACCTATGCACCCTTTTGGCAAACGATCAGAAGTTGGGTGGAATATTAACTTCCTCATAGAATAAAATTAAGCACTCGAAATTATGTATAAGTAAATGGGTTAAGTAATTTGACTATTCGAGAGTGCCTACTCTAAATATAATAAGGACTTAATTTTGACCAAAGGTTTGGAGTTTTCATTTGGGATTGAATTGTTAAAAGTGGCGTACAGATTTAAAATGAACTTGTCAGTGACATTTGATGCACACATGGGACCTTCGGCCTCCAATCAATTTTTTTTGACATTTAACTTGACGATATTTACAAAGTAACCCAAGCAATCAAAGCTAGACTACCGAATAGTAGCGAAGGAAAGCGTTTATATATCAAACCTTAATTTCATTAAATCCACTACTAAAAAGAGAAATATAGCCTAAACTCCCAGCAATATTGTCATGATATGTATCGCCATTTTATCAAACGCCATGACTACAAGGCCATATGACGTAGGCATGGGGAAATAGAAACGTTCTTCTGATTTGCTGATAACCCATCTCCTTGTGAGACCATGCAAGGCGGAGATAGCTTAAAACCAGTAGGAACTCTCAATTTTTTCCAATAAGATTGGGTTCAATAAAAGCGAAGATGATCTTGTGTCAATAAAGTCACTCTCAATTATCTCCACATCAAATACACTGATCTCCAGAATTGTCTACGTTTTCATATATACCCATTTACACTTTCTTCCTTCTTTAAGCAACTTCGTATATAACTCAGCCCTGGCAGTTTAACACTACACCAATTTTTTACTTTATCCAATACCTGCGATTTGACCTTTACACTCTTACTCAGTTCTTTCCAAATGCAAATATACTGTTATGGTAGGAAAGAATTTGAGCTTTCCACTGCTCCACGAATGCTCAAATACCCCAATGCCGCTGAATTATTAGCCCCACTGTACACTCCAAATAAGCTTAATCAAAGAAAACACAAAAAGGGCTGTTTTAAATGTTCTGTTTCACAGTTTTTCATAAATGTTGGAGAGGTTATATAAGTTCTATGGATGCCACACTAGTTATGAGGACTAACCGCTATTGACAGTTAATCTGGACGAAGTTGTCAACAGTCAAGTTTCAATTATAAGAAAAAGGAATTTTAGTCTTCGCTAGAATATAAAACCACCTTTGAGGTAATGTACAATGGGATTCGTTTAAATTTTAGCAGTACAATATAGTCGAAGCTGAGAAGTAGATTCTGTATTTTTATAACTTCAAGTTAAAGGGATGATGCATAAACGAACTGGCGTCCAAATTATCCAAATACTAGACGCTCTTATTTAACTTTAAATTTTTTCTAAGTGATAGTACTCTTGCAACTTGGGTTCGTTTATTCGAGATTAAAGGCTTCCGTAAGACCAAACACGGTATTTAGCTAGTATGTATCCAGCTTACGTAACATCAGCATATTATGGTACGGACCAAAATGTCCTTAAAGGGCAATATAAGGAATATTATGGGAGGTAAGGCATTTGGATTTACGATAGTACATTTCCCGGGTCAAAAATCTCCCCCCCTCCCACCTCTATGGGGTCAGGATCCAAGAGGCAGGAATCATCACCTTTCACAGGAAACGCAAAAGAATCTTCCTCCTATACAAGTTGACAATTCGGACCGGTTGGACTAAAAATGGTCTGATATAAGCCAATCGTCTGTTTGTTCATGTAAAAAAGAGGAGTGAGATAAATCAAAATTCAAGGATGACTAATACCGTCGAATTTACTTCAAGTATTAGGAAGGAGAAAAATTGAAAGCGATACAAAAATATGGTAAATGCACTTCAATGTGCACAACCATCGATGGCAATAGATATTCGATTACACTTGAAAAGCCATATTTCTACTTCCTATTCAACGTTATAACTGACCTAGAGTTTAGCGGATAGGACCATTATGGAGACATTTTGATTAAATATGGTGTTATCCGATGCTTGGAGGAATTAAGACAGTAAGAGTGCATTTTTCAACATGCAGCCTATAATCTTGCAATCTAGTGAGCAAATAAGTGGAATCAATTTCTCAATACTTTGAATAAGCCAATGAGACTTAATGAGTACGAGTGATTGTCCGAATAAGTGCATTAACTGATCTCAGGACTTCCTAAATAATTACAAAAATTGAAAATGTACACATGATAAAGAAAATTTGATTTATTTAAAATATCTGCCCTGCCTCTAGACAGTTGTTTTTAAAAAACAAGTAAGCTATTTAACAGTTAATAAATTAAAATTCCTCATAAAGTCAAAATTTTTGGCAGAAAAAATTTGAAGAAAGAAACCGAATGAAGCCAGTTCAAGCAAAAAGAAATTTCAGTAACTATACATACGTGGCATCAATAACTAGAAAGAAATGTAAATCAAAAGCTTTTCTTGAACAGCACTTTGAAATTGCAATACTCTTCTTCAAAGTTGCTTGCTATTCTGGCAGCACAAATTTCAAGGTCAGTAACAGGACGGCGAACCAATTTTTATTGATTATATATTTTAAAATATAATTGAACTTACAAAACACGCAAAACGTGCCCTTCATTAATCATAGTTAATTGAAAATAGGAAAATCGCATAAAGGCATGACGGCATTTACAAAATATCACAAGCTTTTAAAAATAGACTTCCAAATAGTAGTGAAGGAAAGCATTTATATATCAAACCTTAATTTCATTAAATCCACTCCTAAAAAGAGAAATATTGCTTCAACTCTCAGCAATATTGTCGTGATATGTATCGCCACTTTATCAAACGCTATGACTACGAGTCCACAAGACATGGGCATGAGAAATGGAAACGTTCTTTTCATTAGCTGATATCCCATCTCCTTGTGAGACCATACTAGACGGTGACAGCTTGAAACCAGTAAGAACTCATAACTATTTCCAATAGGATTGTTTTCAATAAAAGGAAAGACCATTTTATCATGAAAGCATGCCTGCGTAAATAGGAAGTGGATTTAGTTTAGATTCAAAATTATACCATTTGCCTACCTCAAATCCTTTCTCTAGATCCTCCAACTTTCTCCAGGCATCGTTAATCTCCCCAATAGACTGACCGGCTGGCGGCATAAAGGCGGGTTTGTGAGCCAACTTCAGCCGAGTTTGTATTGAATTGTTCAACGCCTCAAGCAGAGCCTTATCCTCAACACGAGGTGGTTTGGCTGATCCGCCGTAGGCGGTGTACTGGGCCAGTTTCTCTTTAGCATGAGGAATAGTTCCATCTATTGTTTTGTCCTTTAATGTGGGAAATAAAATGAATATAAAAATAACGAATTCAGCCTTTTCAAAAAACCGATAAGTTGGGAGCTAGCATAAACAGCAATATTATAATTGAGAAATGATGAAAATATGAGGCCTGCTATGTTAGACAGATTGTTTAAATCGCTAAATTGAAAGGGCCTGCCAATTACAGATACTAATTAGAAAGAAAATGTCAACATAACAAATAGAGATCCATAGGACTTCCATCCGATGGAAAAGGCAAACATTGCAGACCACGTCTGTTGATCTCGGATACAGCAATGTAAAATGTAATAAAATATTGTGAAATAAATTACACTGATGCTTGAAACACTAAATGCTCATTGAAATTAAACAATAGAGCAAAGTTAAGAGAAATAAAGTGAGAATAATTCAATTTATCAACTGTTTACTCCCAGTTCAAGTTTGTTTGCCTGCTGAGCTTTCATGATTATTCATCAAAGATTAGGTACATTTCTCCTCAGTATTCTCTAGTTACTTAGAATCTACTTATTTGAAGTTAACACCTTTACCCAAGATGGCGACTTACAGCAAGGAAGGGTATCTGATTATTTATCCATTTGAGAAGATCCGAAGCAAGAGTAGCGTACTCCTCCATCAATTTCTCCGTATCTTGATTGGATTTAAGCACCTTTGCAATCTTACTTGCAGCTGATTCAGTCTACAGTGCAATAGAGGAAGATAGTGCTCAAAACATAATAGGTATAGCATTAGGAGTAGCAAACGAAAACTAACACTGTGAGCATTGGCGAAGGCATGGTAGTAAGCAGCGACGTAGGTCATAACAGACCGTTCATCCGGTCGAATTGTATTTACCATATCTGTTCGACAAAATGTATAGAGAGTAAATAGATTTTTGTTATGGAAACGAAAAAAGGGTTCGATAGTCACAACAACACGAAACACCACAAAAATTACAACAACTTGAACTTACTTTTGCAATTATAACAGTTCGTAAAAGCTACCTGAGAAATGTTAATTATTTAAATCCGAAATAGATTATATCACTTACAGCAATACTGCTTTTATGCTCAGAAGTCGTTTAAAATAGAAGAATGAATAATCTAAAAGACGAACCTTCAGCATCGAGCATCTTAGGAATGTCGAGATATTTTTCAGCGACATCGAAGGCATAATTGAGATTTTGAATAGGATTTTCCTAAAAAATTGAAATATTTTAAAAAAACGAAAGCAAGTATAGTATGTTTGGTAACTAATTAGGTGGCAAGGTACTAAATTTGAGTCTTAAGCAAAACATAATATTAGAAAAAAGTTATTTCACCTTCGAAAGCTTATTGTAATCAATAAGTTCTGGACGGTGTCTATGAATAAGCGCGCAGAAAGCGAGACCATCTTTCCAACTAGAAAAAAATTAATCAATTTAGAGCATCAAAATTGGTCTATAAAAGTTTTCAAACCTCGTATGGAAGTTTTGAACATTAACATTATTGTAAGGTGCGGTTTTCCGTTGACACCACAATAGCAATCCTTCCTTCGCGTGAAGTTCTGAAAAAAAATAATATGGAAAAAATGAAACATTATTCGCAAGAGCTTATCCAAACAAAATGTAATAACCACCTTCAACAGTAATATCTTGGATGCAGAAACGAAGAATTATGGTCCAAATCATTCCCAAAGTCATTTTAATATTTCCATCAACAATTTCTAGTAATAAAAATAACGAATATTCAAGAACATCGTACGCTCAGCACCAATAGACACTAATTGAACGCCTTTGCTTTCAATGTATTTAAGAGCTTTATTGACATTCGTGATCATATGGAATCGCATTCTGCCGCGATCTGGTTTAGGCAGAGTCTCTTCGGACAGCGTTTCCAATAGTTGCAACAATTTTAATCCATCACGAAAATCATTCTCAATATCAGTAATACTAGTGTTTGCTTTACGGAGATAAGAATTGCACCATGCAGTGAATGTCTAAAAGAAATGGTTTCAATTACGATAGTATTACCTTCTTTTGCTGAATTTCCCACATAGGATCTAAATACTGCTCTCGATCCCATTCTTCCTCCTCTTCAGGTTCAATATGAGTGTCGTAGTAAGGGTCATTAGGATAATAGGCACTAGTATTATTGTAATAATATTCCATGTTGACAGAGGCGCGCGAAAAAAGAAAACGCTAGAGTAATTCGCCAATAGCGCTTGATTTCAAGGTTGTTCAATTACAAAAATTCAACAATTATAAATACTCTAAAATAAGAGAGAATGAATAATCAGTGCTAAATCGTGCAGTATCTTTTTATTTAAAGTAAATGAGATAAAATTTTATATTAATTTAAACTGCACTTGTAGGTTTGGCATTTATACTATGAATTCATGACAAACAAGAACGTGATATCATTCTCATATTAATATATGTAAACTAAGCAACTAGTGAAAATTCATCATAGTTATTGATCATTTGGCAACAGCTTTCAATAAGTGATGTTACATTTGTTTTGAAAAACTTATATTATTCTGACTTTGTTATGTAGCTTTCTGCATTTGGCAGCAGTATTTGCTTAACTTGAACCATATATATATATATATATATATATATATATAGTTCTTAACTTAACATCATATTTGCCCCTTTATCTTTTATTAACTCTTTTCTTTTGCCTGATAGAATCGTTTTTTCAAATTCTTAAGAAACCCCCCTATTTATGAATATGTAACCCAAAGCGATTCGAACCACTGTGTCAAAATTTCAATAGGCGGTTTACATTATGCACCATCTATAGCAATAATATAATAAATTGTTCAACTAAATCAGAATTAAAAGAAAAGTGAGTTAAAATAAGAAATAAAGAATCTTATCTACAATGAAAGTTTTTGGAGCAAATAATATGTTAATATATAAATATATAAATTCGATTTTTCAGCAATTAAAGCATTGTGAAACCTTTGTTTGCCTACTTGTGAAGTAACACATGTTAGTGTCTGATATA